TAAATATTATTTGAAATTTTTATTAAAATAAAAATAATTTTAATAAAATATCTGTTTTGATAATTTTAAAAATTAATATCGTATTTAGGTGTTTCAATGAAATATGAAAACAAAATAAATAAACTCTAATAACTTATGCTTGCTTCATCTACGTTACCGTAGATGGAGCTGAAGGCTTGGTAGGGTTTATATAAATAAACAAAATACAAGAGGCAAAAAATTAAGGCCTAAAAATGGCGAGAGCTGCTAGCACTCGGCATAGTAGTACGTTTTGTACTCAAATGATATTCTCTGCTTTTCGTTTGTCAGATTGAGATAAATCTCCGAAACCGGTCGTCGAATGGCTGTTCCCTTCATAGTTCAGTAATTGGGGATCAAAAAAGGGGCCTGCTTGGAAAAAAGTCCGCAAGTTTTAAAACTTTGCAGGTTTATAGGTTTTAAAGTCCCTAACTAAAATCCATAAAATGCATATTTCCAGACTTGCCGCCGGCGCCGCCATCTTGCCAAGATGGCGACCAAAATCGGTATTTTGTAAATATCTTGAAAACTATGCGTTTTTCTCAAAAAAATTTGAAGAGAATAAAATTTCCTATAAAAAAGGTTCTATGAAAATTTTCGCTAAAGTTAACCGTTTAAGCACAAAATCACTTGAAATTTTGTATGAAGTATGATATATTATGTATAGTCGATTTTCCGAAATGATAACCACAAATGATAATAATATATAATAATAATGATACGCCATTGTTTTATAACAAAATTGAAGAAACTAAACTAAAACTAGTTTTAGTGAACCCTAATCGACGTTTGATTTCGGGAAATCGACCATACATATTGTATACAAAATTGTAAAATTTTCAGGGATTTTGTGCGTAAACGGTTGACTTTGCCGAAAATTTTCATGAAACTTTTTTTATAGGAAATTTTATTCTCTTTAATTTTGCTCTCTCCAAATTTATGCGAAAAATGCATAGTTTTCGAGATATTTACAAAATACCGATTTTGGGCGCCATCTTGGCAAGATGGCGGCGCCGGCGGCAAGTCTGGAAATGTGGATTTTATGGATTTTAGTTAGGGACCCCAAACCCTATAAACCTGCAAAGTTTCAAAACTTCCGGACTTTTTTCCAAGCAAAAAATCTCCAAAGTCTGATGAACTTAATGCAGAGAATAAGCATATATTTAGGTTTTTTTAGGCATTAATTTGTTCTTTCTTGTATTTTGTTTATCTAATAATTAAATTTTAAACTTTTAATATAAGTTAGTACGAAAGCGTAGAGTACTATCGCTACGTTGAAAAATATGTTTAGCAAAATTTGCAGTTTTTCAGTAAATTTAGGTACACTTTTTCTACAGGGTGTTTTAAGAAACATGTGCCATCTCTCATGGGAAGATTTCTTAGGTAAAAATAAGATTTAGTTTTTATCTCAACATAGGTCCGAGTCTGCTTTGTTTCGTATCTACAGGGTGTTAAGTCTTAATAATCTTTCGCTTTATTATAATTTTCTTCCAAGTACTTTTAGTGATTCGAATGAAATTTTTAAAGTAAAAATTACAATAGGCGCTACATATTTTAATGCTAAAAAAGTGTCGACAGATTCATCAGTGTGCACCACCGACTGTTTTTCCTGTTATTAGCAATATATAATGCCAATTAAAAGTTATATCTTGTTATTTTGTAGATTTCGATATCCTTGATGAGATAAACGCAATTTGGTTAATCACAACTAATAAAATTAATAAATTATTTATTTTATCTTATTTATATTTAAATATTATTACCAGTAGTTATCATTACTATTAGTCCAACCTACAGCAAATTGAAATAAAAAAAATAACGGAATTTAAGATAACTACAAAAGACCAAATTTTAAAAGGTTTCAATATCCTGCATGTAAATATGCGTTTCATACCCTAGTTTATAGGATTTTTTTCATGTTTTTGATAAGGAATCAATGATTACTTATATAACACTTTCGAAAGTTAATGATATTAATTTTTCTTAAAGGTTGCTATTAGACTTGGATCAAGGCAAATTAATAAAATTGCGTTTACCTCATCAAGGAGGCCGAAATCGACAACATTATCGAGAGACAACTTTTTATCCGCGTTAAAAGGCTTATACTCTTTCGCTAATAATAGAAAAAAATTCAGTGGCGTACATGCTTTTTTTTAAATTCCAATGATAACCTACGAGTATATGCACGTCCCTAGTGCACATGTCGACACATATTTAGCATTAAAATCTGTAGCTTTAACGCTCAAAATTTCATTGGAATCGCTAGAAGTACTTATAAATTATAATAAATCGAAAAAATAAGACTTTAACACCCTGTAGCTACGAAACAAAGCCGAATCGGACCTATGTTGATATGAAAAATCTTATTTTTACGTGAGGAATCTCCCCACGAGAGATGGCACATGTTTCTTGAAACACCCTGTATGTTTAGATGATTTTATACATATAATATCATATTTAGGTAGTCAATAAAATATAAAAATAATATTTATATTTTCACTCAATTAAACTATAATTTTAATTTATATTATAAACGAGAAAAAAAGAAATATCTACTGATAAACGAGAAACCCTGTAAAAAAATAAATAATACCCTAGAGTTTTTATTTAAAATAGTTGATAAAAATTCAATAATAACAGAAATATTTTATTTCCCTTTTTAAATTGCATTATTGAATAAAATACAAAAAGACAAATAAAACCATTCTGCGACGATGCACTCTGAAGCAGTTAAATCGAACTCTCTCCGACAACGTTGCCAACTCTAGCTAGATTTTTCTTTTTGTTTCTCGCTCGTACACAACATTTTATCGACATATTTATGGAGCTTTATTGTGAATTATGCCAGCACAGGCAGCTCTTGCTCTCCAAAACAAAGAACGACGGCACAACCCAACAAGCGTACTATATCATCGACTGCTGGGGAATACTTGGAGACGGGGGTGGTGGGAGGAAAGGGGGGGGGGGAAACGTGGGGAAAAATGGAGGAGATTGAAAATGGCGTTGCAGCGAGGCGACCGAAGCTCCCGGCGGAAAAGGGAGGCCAGGCAGTGGCGGCGTAGTTATTTTTTTGTGTTTTCGTCAAACAGGAGTTCTAAAAATATCAAATTTGAATAATATGTAAAAATTAATATTTATTTTTCGATGTACAGGGTGAGTTTTGAAAGTGCGAAAGTAAAAGTTATTTAAGATTGGCCCTGTATAATAGTAAGATGGATTTGTTTAAAAATTAATAATTATAAAAATCATAATTTGTCTATTTATGATTCGCATTTCTCTAAATTTTAAAATTGTTTTTAAATTTAAAAAACCGCTAATTTATTTAAATAATTAACTTCTCTATTTATTTCGGGTTGTCTCAATAACATAAATTATGAAAAAAAACTGACATAAAATTCAGCCAACACAATAAATTTGTATACCGGGTGTCTTTCAAAAGTAGCTCACCTCTATAACTTTTTATTTGCCAAAAAAAAACGAGATTTGGTACCTTACTATATGACATAAATCAGGATTGATTGACGTATTCAATTATTTTCGGGGACTTCCTGTTTCATCGGAAATGACTAGAATTTTTGATTTTTAAATGACACTATTATTTTTTTACTTTATTTGATAGAAAATTACACTTTGAATAAAATTATTTAAAAAAAAAATTGAAAATTTGGAATTTTTTGAGGAAAAAATTGGAAATATTTTTAAATTTTACTTAAAAAACATAGATCTAATGGTTCTGAAAATTTAGGCATTTTTTTTATTTTAATTTTCAAAATAAAATATCTCGGTTATTTTGGATTTGTTTAAAAAAAATAAAAAGAAATTGTGTTTCATTTATCGAGATCTCTACCAGCCCTGAAAATATTTGCACGTATTTAAGACTCACCCTGTATATCAACTTTAAGTCGTATAACTAAATTTTATATAAACTTTAGTATTTGGCTTATCGAATTTTTAGAATTTGGTTAAACGAAGGATTGATTTTAACTTTAAACACTCTTTGTAGCGTATGATCGATAAAAAAAAGGCCGTCCAGTTGGCTGCGACATGACGATCGATGAGATTTCCCATAAAAAATTACATTTCCGATAAAAATTTACATATAAAATGACAGCGATCTTTATTTCATAGCCATTGCTGACGGCGTTTTTTTTTTCGATTACCTATACGGTACTACTTTCGTGAGCAGTGTTGTTTTTTGATTCATGTCAACACACGCTGTGATTAATTTTTAAGAGTGAAATGAACTCGCCACCAACAGTTTGCAATTTTTTTAATTATCATTAATTTTTTACGTTATTTTTTAATATGGACAGGTGGCTTTGGTGACTATTGTCGACAGTTATATTACTGTCCGAATACTGACCGAAAAATATTGTTTTGGGAAAATTTCCTCACAGTGTTTTTTAAAAAAAACCTTCGATTTACTATCTAATTATCATATAGTAAGCCAAATAGCAAAATAAGACACTAATTCACGACAATACATTAAAACACTTCATTTTTGCATTGGACGCACGTTTTGCTAACATATTAGCATCATCAGCAGATGATTAAATCTCTTAACGAAACGTTTGTCCAGAGCAAAGATTAAATGTTTTGGAGTATTAGTGTTTTATTTTGCCATTGTAATACCAAAGGTTTATATAAAACTGACTTTATGAATTAAAATAGATATATTTATACACAGTCTGCTATAAAAATATGAAAATAGTACTAAAAATAAAAAAAATAAAAAAATTCCCTTGCATTTTTTTTGCCTCTGTGTGTAATAAATAAAAAAAATAAAAATTAGAAGTTAATTACTTTATATGGAATTAAAAAAAAAGAAATTACAGTTGTAGGTAATTAAAACGAACTTTATGCACTTCATTGAATGACAATGAAAATTCTATTTTATAATGTTCATCAAAATTTTATTTCAATCAATTTTTTACGTTGTCTTCCATAAAAGAATGCTATTTACAGTTTCAAACGAAAACATCTATAAATTTTGATTTCAAAATTTTGAGAGAATTAAAAACAAGAAACCTGCTGTAATAGTAGCAATAACTCCCTACGCCACTGCACTTTATCTTCCTCTCACTTCCAGTCGCTCACAAAACAAAATACCCCCACCTCCGAAAATATAGAATTTCAGAAAATACAACAAAGCACAAGAAAGAAAAATAGAAATAAAAATTACAAAAAAATACATACACATATCTATCCATCTCCGGCAACCAAAACAGACACAGAAGAAGAAAAATTAATAAACGCTCGCGTTATTGTGCGTCGTGTCGTAGTTGATTTGCAGGTACGACGGCATCGCCGCGTTCAGCTCCGACGCCCTACGTCGCAACGCCGCTATGCTGTGGCCGCGCCACACGTCCTCGTCCTGGTCCCCGCCCCCTCCGCCAGTCGGAGAGGCGCCCGATGACACGGGAGGCGTGGCCGCGTTCGAACAGGGCGGCAGCTGGGAGGAGGGGGGCGGGGAGGCGCCGCCCACGCTGCCGTTGGTGCCGCCGCCGCCCGCCGAGTTGCAGTACGTCATCATGCTATCACCTGAAACAGGAAAAACAGAAAGAATGAGAGAGGGTTGGTGGGGGTGGGGATAAATCAATTTTAGGGTATGTGTGTGTAGAATGCGGGTAGGGGTTTTGTGTTCGAAAATATCGGAGTTTAAGTTTGGAAAATAAAAATTCGCGTTAAAGTTATTTTATGTACCTATCTATATAATTAAATTTTTAGAAAATAAGAGGCAGCAAGTACTGGAAACGTTAATTACATATAAGTCTGTTCAGCTAGATAACGGGAAGTTACAATTCGTAGAGTGCTTAAAACACTCTTTTCGCAACGAATTTCACACAAGATTTTTTGTGAAAGCGGATAATTTGAGATTTTCATGCTATTATTATTATTTATTTTTAAACATTTGTTAAAATCTTTGAATAAGAAGACTAAGGAAGGAGCATATCAAAAATCTTAGGTACACCGCGATGGGCCTCAAATATGGCCGACTTAAATTCCGGTTTATCAGTGTCGTTCTAATTTTATTTAAAAAATGTAAAACTATGATGTAGGGTAGACGTGGGGTAGACTGAATAATTTGTTGTTTTATTTTACATTGTGAATAAATGTTGGTAGTTATTAAAATTGTTATAAAAATATATAATTCTAATAAAAATAGATAAGTTATAATAAGTATTTATTACCACAAACATCCGATACGCTACTGAAGCAGGTAAGTCAATCTAAATTCTTTGACATCTAATCTTTGACAAGTAATAAATAAAAGCTAAAATGCAAGAAAAATATATAATTTAGTTAATTTAAGTGAATTTCATAAATGATCGGTTTACTACACGTATGTATATTATATAGTCACTTACTAGCGAAAAGTTGTTCCATTATTTCACTCAATTTTTGCCGAGATCTACCGCACGCTACACAACCAACTATTTTAGAGTCTTTTTCGATAAATCGCGATAGTGTCACTGTTAATTTAAGTGCTGCCACAATTTCCATCTAGATTTACTACCTTTATACAACTATCAGTAGTAGAATAAATAATAAATAACATAAAATAAGCTTCGTAAAGACTGACAAATCCACAAAATTTCAAATCAAATTCAAATGTGTCAAATGAATCGTCAAACAAAACTGTCAAGGATCCCCACCCTAGAGTGCTTTTATGGCGCTTTTCCCGCCCACCATGCATGAATACATGGATAGCATTATGCTCCTTCCTTAGTCTTCTTATTCAAAGGTTAAAATGTTCTGGTAATCGGTTTCTAAGGCACTGTTTAATGACAAAGTTCTGTCAGGTTCAAATGTCGCCGTATTTCCTATAAAGTTTTTTGAAAAAATCAGTGATAATGACGAGTCTTTGGATATTCAATAAGCTGCTGAAACTGAGCTATCCACGTTAGTGCCCGAGAAGTCGAAAAACTTGTATGAGACCACCTACAACAACTTTGAAACCTGGGTCAAAGAAAAAAATGTTGAGAATTTCACAGAAAAGGTATTGCTAGCCTATTTCCTGAAGATATCCACTACCTTAAAGCCGTCAACTCTGTGCAGTAAATATTCGATGCTCCGCATTACGATTACTGAGGGACCAATAGATGGTAAAGTAAACGCCACGAATGTTTGGGAGTGATTCATCGGTCGCTACCATGTGAACTAATCTGTTCAAGGTCACATAAAACTTAATTCCAGTGCAGTGGTATTTCAAGTCATATAATAATCAATATATAATCTGTTGTAATTTGTTGTTTTAACTGTCAAAGTCTTGTCAGAACATACAGGGTTGTTCACCACATACGACACGGAGTATTGTAGCTAAACGATTAGATTTTTACAAATTGTAAGTTTTGGGTTCGTTGAAGGACTATTAGAGCTACAATTTTAAAATATTTTTACAAGATACAGAGTGTCCCAAATAAATAAAAAATATCAAAGTTGTATTTTTTTAAATGGAACACCCTGTATATTATTACATTTTGAGTTTCTACGATTAAAATAAAGGTAAATTTGATAAAGGTTTATTACACTTAAAGCATACCGTTTTTGAAATATTTTCTATTTTGTGAAATTGCAGTCAAAATTTTAAGGCTTGATTTCTCCAAGGGTATCAAAGTTTTTAATACTAAATATTTACTGAAGTTTATTTATTGATCAGTTATTGTGTTGCAATAATAAAAATTATACTACCTTATACAGAGTGTCTAAAATTTTATTTTAAATAATTACTAGCTTTAAACGGCAATAACTTGTTTAATTTAAATAGAATACTCTGTATATTTTATGATAATCAGATGCACAATTTAATTGTCTATCAAATTGTATTATACCATTTTTTACCTATAGCTTCAAGTTTCCGTAGAAAATGCATTTTCTTGTAATTTTAATTCATTTATCAATATACCCATGGAATACTGATATTTTAGATTATTTTTAAAGATGTACCAATTTTTTAAAGAGTACAGATACTAATATTGTCGATATAGTTTGTTTATTTCATTAAAAAATAAAAAAAACTGTTTAAATATTTGTTAAAGAGGACCAATTAATATGATTCCAGTATTCAAACTACATTAATTGACTGTTTGCGTTGATTAATAATAATTGCTCCAAAACTAAAAACTGATTTTTTATGTGTATTAGACAGTGTGGTAAAAGTAACACCTTAAAATGATATTTCATTTTTTGACAAATGATTATTTGTAACAACACAGACATTCATTTTTATAACTTATTATTATATTGATTTCTGATTCAAATCCACATTTATTTAGAATAATTTATTCACGAACATAATTAAGTATGTAATTAATTAGTATTTGGGCGGAAATAATGGTGGTATATTTAATTAATGGTATACTCTTTTATGAAGATTTTGAATAGTTTTCTTTTTACATACAAATGGGCTAGTAATATCATTTTGTTAAAAACGATAATATTACTAGCCTGTATATTTTGTACATTTGTTGCTTTAAAAACAATCTAAAATGTCAATATTCCATGGGTATATTGATAAATGAGGTCTAAATTATAAGAAAATGCATTTTTTTACGAAAACTTGAAGGGATAGGTAAAAAGTGGTATAACACAATTTGATAGACAATTAAGTTATGCATCTGATTCTCCTAAAATATACAGGGCGTTCCATTTAAATTAAACAAGTTATTGCCGTTTAAATCTAGTAATTATTTAAAATAAAATTTTATACACTCTGTATAAGGTAGTATAATTTTTAATATTGCAGCATAATAACTGATCAATAAATAAACTTCAGTAAATATTTAGTATTAAAAACTTTGATACCCTTGGAGAAATGAAGCCTTAAAATTTTTACTGCAATTTCACAAAATTGAAAATATTTAAAAAACGGTAAGGTTTAAGTGTGATAAACCTTAATAAAATTTGCCTTTATTTCAATCGTAGAATCTAAAAATTGAATAATATACAGGGTGTTCAATTTAAAAAAATACAACTATAGCATTTTTTACTTATTTGGGACACTCTGTATCTTGTAAAATTATTTCTAAATTGTAGCTCTAATAGTCCTTCAACGAACCCAAAACTTACCATTTGTAAAAATCTAATCGTTTAGCTACAATACTCCGTGTCGTATGTGGTGAACAACCCTGTATATTTGGAAATAAATATAAAATGGAATGGGCCCCATTGGTCGCACTGCAAGCACACCAATGGACTGACGCACAAAAACGAATCAATCAAAGAAACGCGATATAGTATCGTCTTTGTCAATCACGCTAACATTTTAGAATAAGAAGGGGGAGCGCAGGCAGATGATTAGACAGGGCCTTTCAAAACCTACGTCTGCGGTAAAAATTTACGTTTTTAATGTAAAAATGATAGCGCGCGTGTCTATTCTAACTTCACCAAGCGATGAATCACTCCAAAATATTCGTGGCGTTACTTTATCAATTTCGTACATGTATTATGTAACATGTATTTCGTAAGTACGCAAAACTTCGACCGCTCAATGCGACACATCATCGATTTTTCTTGACGTATCGAAAAAATCAATGCTGTATCCTGCCAGTTGAAATCAATACAATTGGAGGTATGCCAAAAAAGATAGCGGAAATTTCTTGGACTCTCCAACGCCATTGAATACACTGGTCATTGTTTCCGGCGCAGCCCTCAAACAATGCTGGCAGATTCGGGAGCGGACATAACAGTTTTAAAGCGACATTGAGGTTGTCGATCAAGCTCGGTTTCTGAAGGTTAGATTGAAAATTCAATTGAACACTAAACCGAAATAGCAAAAAGAATCATGGGATAGAAAGATACGCCAAATAAGAAATTAAAAACAGTTCACGTAGAAGCAGAAGCTGCCAGCATTGCCAGTACAAGAAATTTACTTATTCCGACTCCTACAACTTGCATTTCTCTTAGAGACGAAAAGTTGGATGTCTCTTGTATTCACTTTAATAATTTAAATAATTATACCTTTAAGATTTATAATAAATAAATATTTTCATTGTTTTTAACGTTTCATTTTTTACTTTTTGCACTAGTGCTACTACTACCAACCTCGCTACCAACTAGTAATCATTTCGTAGATAAACTAAAAGTTGCAGGTATTATGCAATAGAATGATTCTCAAAGAAATAGAAAATTTAGGTAAAAAATAAATTAAAAGAAATTCAAAATGCAACAGAATAAAAACAATTTACATTGGTTCACCATGAGATTTGTATTTACATTATATAATTGTCAACAGTAACCAAATAATGGGTCTAAAAGAAGTTAATTCATTCGATTAGAACATGGAAAATATTCCGCTAACTCTGTCTAATCTGGCGCTAAAAAGATAAATGACTAATTATCACATGGACATTAAAACGAATTATGGCTAATGAATTGGTGGTAATTAAATAAACAAGCGATTCCTTTGGAATAAATAAGTCTATAACGTGTGGATAATAATTTGCTAATGTTATAGAACCATTTTACTTTCATTAATAGTGTAGTCAAATTGCTTTTTTGGCGGGTAAGTTTTGGGGTAGTTCTGATTTTTTTTGTTCTTT